TATATTAAAATTGGTTTATTTAACAATTTTTGATTACCATTCAGTAGAGTGGAGTTTTATTCCGTGTTATAATAAGCGTTTACAAAATGTATTTCGAGTTTTTTGGTAAGTTAACGAATTGCACAAGGTAAATGGGCATTTAACAGAAAATGTCTATGATACGGCATTTCAAAGATTCAACATGTATATTAAATCTATATAATTAATACGCTACATGGATCTTTGTAGGATGAACTTCTCCGCCATGTCTTAACCGATTTTATCCATTTTTCTCCGTTACCAATAACCGTACAAAACACTTTGATATACTAAATTATTTATTTTTTTAATCCATTTAAAAAGGTTTAAAGATAAATTGGGAATTTTGTGTTTTGAGGGTAAAAAATGAGAACAATGAATTTTTACCCCATAAAACCCCCCATTCCCATGGTCCGATCATGCTGGTTCGCAAACTCATTTAAGTATATCTCGCCTTACACCTTTAAACCAAATTTCATCAAAATCGGACAAAAATTACTCAAGTTATCACGTTCATGGACTTGTATATAAAAAATTTTTAACGAATTGTGTTTTTCAGCCTCTAAGCAAGACCTCAAAACGAAAAAGTAAATCGGTCCTATGACCAGGTCTTACCATGAGTACTACCGTAATAACTTATTCCCTGTATGGGAAATTCGCTATAATAACAAATTCACTGGTTGGATAAGTTTAGAATCGCAGAGGATGGGAAAATAGTTGTGAGAGATTTGTGTCTTAGAAAACACTAGAGATGTTGAATACAGACGCCAACGCGTTTTATGGGGACTGCAGTTTGGCGAAAGGCCAGAAGTTATGTTTTTGCTTGAAATCTATTAGGATGGCGCCAGATCTTGCTTTTTACCACACAGGTTCAAACTGGTGTCCAAATATTTTAATGTATATTTAAAGATTATTTCTGATCAACCCACTTCGTGTTACTTGTAGGCCTACAGGTTGTAAACATAATGCTAAAAATGGTGAAATTAAAAATATTTGTTGAAGAGATTATGCAAATTTAGCAAACAACATACCTAATATCTTTTATATTATATCCAGGTGGTAATTTTAGACTAGATTGTTTGCAAATTTTGATTTGATTTTGTACAATTAAGTAGAATGTAGAGACTTTTTGTAATTCGGTAGGCCTAAACTGCAGTGATCTGCGTGCATGCCTTAGAAATGTATACGAATAGTTTAATCAATAACAAAAGATAATTTTTTCAATCATTACAGATTCTTGGCTGGTTTTACGTGTTTTTGGAGGATTTTTCGAGACTAGTTATAATAGTAGTGTTGATTTAGCATAGCATTCGTTAAGTTTCATCGCGGATATTAGTTTTCGAAGTCAGTGTGTTATATTTTTAAGTTAGATTTTTTCACGATCCAGAAATTTAAATATACTTTGACGTTGAATAAACAGACTGAATGATTGAGAAATGGTTATTTGTGTAACCAGTGTTTGCACTCGTATTACAAATTATATTTTCTCTACAGTTACTATAAATCATATAAATTATTAGACTTTCAAACACTGCACAACACGTTTTTAGGTTAAGTTGAATCTAATTGAACAAAATGGGAAACGCTGCACCAGCTGATCGTAGTCGTAATATCTTTAAGGGATGCCAACTTATTTTCAAGCGTACACGTTCATAATAAAAGCACGCTGTTTTGTGTTGTTTGGTTGGAATACTGGTGTGCGCCAAAGTAAGGCTTTCTGAAATACAGTAGAGTCCCGCAAACTTGACGTAATGTGGACTGGAAGGGTGCCGAGTTTGTGAAATTCCGGGTTATCGGGAACTAGGGTTAAAAGTAAGAACAATACAATTTCTAAGCTTATTAACTGCCTCTTTTATTTATATTTATATTACAAGTTAGTATTAGGTCATCAGATCTGGTACAACAAATCGTTAGTACGAGCTACGAATGATTTGACTTGTGCTGGCTTTAGTTCATGTTTGACTTGGACTCCAAAACTTACTAATTTTCTGAGCCAGGTGATGGCAGAGTTATCCAGACAGCCGGGTTATCGAGTGCTATGTTTGCGGGACTCTACTTATAAAAAATATTTAAATAGCCTAAAGAATAAGTTTTGAGTATCAAGACTTTTGTGCCAAACTTTTGTCTCTTCTCTGTTGTTTACTTAACAACTTCTCAGTCGCTATCTCAGATATAAACTTTTTGTTGGTTTCTTTATTGCTATCCTCCTTGAATTGTCACCACTTGTTATGTTCCTTCCTCTCCATTGTTTCCCTTTTCACACCTGCAGCAGGTAGTAAATTAAAGTGGGATTCACGGTAAATACACAATAATAAATGAAAAATTTTAGTAGGCCACTACTACCAATTTTACAGTACTTAATTTATTGATTAGGTTAGGTTAGGTTAGGAAGAAGTCTGCAAAACTGTAGTAGGCCACTACTACTACTTTTTGCAGTACTTTATTCATTGGTATCGAATGTACTTGAAGAAACTACATGACTTTTTCCCAGTCATATACGTGTAAAAGTATTAACTACTGCAGCCAAAGATAGCAAAGAAAACTGATATGTTACATAGTTAATTTTACGTTCTAACATAAAAATCATCTAATAAAACATTACCAGATGGTACAAAATCACAATCAATACCAAGCGTGCCACAAAGAACTTTTTGTAATAAAAGAAGTTATTTTAGGAATAAATAGATGTTTCTGTTGGCAAGTCTTCAGTTTTTAACAAGAAATACCGAAGGTTTAGGTTCCCGTTATAGACAATTAGAAAGAGGTCTTCCAATTGAGAATATCTAAGCTGCATATGGACACAAGTCAGGATACAATAGTAAAACACAATTGTAACTAATAATTAAAGTACGATAGTTATTAACTAATCAACGTAACTAATATTTTTTGAGGGGAGAAATTTAGGAGCATTGTACGCGGTAGCTCAGCTGGAAAAAAAATTATCAACTTGACTTGATATAAGATCCAGGTTCGATTTAAAATTTAAACTTTTGTCACACACGAGAAATCATAATTATAAAAATAATAGTTTATACAACTTTCACAAGTGTCAATAAAATCATATCCAGGACCGAGATATTTGGCCTCTTCTACATTTAATGATGTTAATTGCCTTAAGTGACTGATGGTTGCATGTAATGTAAAAAGCTTGTTGGTCTTTTCTTCGGTCAGTGGGCTATCAATTTTAGTTAACAAACAATCTTGCGCAATATTATTTTTGTTTTCTTTATTGAAATCCGTCCTTAGAATCATTTTACTCAATGATTGTTGTGTATTTGTTTATGGTAATCCACTAATTGCACTTAGCAACATACTTTCGGCACAGGATCGGGTCTAAGATCATAATTTGTCTACTAGTGTAATCTTTATGAATAGACATTTATTTATTTGTTTATTCATTTATTTACGTATTTATTTATTTGTTTATGTATTTATTTATTTGTGTATTTATTTATTTGTTTATTTATTAGTTTATTTATTTATTTGTTTATTTATTTATTTGTTTGTTTATGTATTTATTTGTTCATTTGTTTATTTATTAATTTATCTATTTATTTATTTAGTTATTTATTTAATGAACAACCCATTATATAACAGGATCATTATACAACTTGGTTGTTTTGTAAGACGTGGAGATTTAGTAATCTAATAATATATTATCTCTTTATGTATTTATAAAAATAACCACGGTACTCATTTAGTCATTAATTTATTCTACCTTAGATGAAATCCCGTTTTACCATGGATTCGTACTTTCATACAAGTTGAAAAAAAGACATCAAGCTTTACAACATAAGAGAAATTTTAAATAAACTATTAATAAATATAGTTAGATTGTACCGTGTGAACATTTTAAACTAGCTAACCTATTTCAAAAAAGTTGATGACTATTAAGACCATAACACAATAAATTCAATGCATTATACAGTATTGCAAATATTCCCCTACTAGTACCCTACTATCTTTCTTTGTATTACATCGTCCGATTTGTCCAACTGACATTACTAAATACCTTCATATTGATAAACGTGTCTGTTATAAAAAAATGTTAGGTAGGTAAAAACCTTTATAAATTATATCAGTCTCGACCGGGCCTGAAAATGACCGGGTTGACTGGTTCAAATCTGTCACCATTGTAAATAATGTTACAATATTTTACTTCTTCTCATACTTATAATGATAGAAGACGAATACGATAGGAATTACTAGATTCGAATTGATGAACATAGAAGTATTTTACAAGTGGATTCCGACACAGTTTTCAGGGCAATATATAAAGAGGACTCTTGTAAAGAGGACCCAAGAGTCCCTAGCAATTAAATTCTTTTCATTCTCCCAGAACATCTATGAGAGTCGTAAATTCGTTTAATGATTGTATTAGTCAATCTGGTCTCCAACCGCATATTTACAGATGACCCATACATCCTTGAGATTTTAATACGATATCTGTACAGAATTAGGGTACAATTTTATCTTTAAAGATTTTGTATCAAGATGTTATATTAAAAAAGTACTATCCAAACGATTTTAAAAATAAGTTCATCCACCAGAAAACCAAATAAAGTAAAAAATAGTGTTAATAATTATAATTACGTCGCGTTTTAAAAGTAAAGGAATTAAATATCTATGTTAAAGATTTACAGTATACAACACGAAACCACGAAATCTGTAGCAATATAAACTAAATCTCTTTATGAAATTTTTCCTTGGTGGGTTTTTGTTACAGACAATTTTTTATTTGTGTTTCAATCCTCCTAATTAAACCTGTCTCAACAGATCAACTTAAATTTTCCTGTCAATATTTTCTACAATTTGTTCCTCCAGATATTGTCTTCATGACCAGTTTTCCATGATCAACGTTGGTTTTGTTTTCATGAGATTCAATTTTTGACTTCCATCTTCTATTTGACAAATGAACTTATTTTGTTCACATGAATGTATTTTTGTTTGTTTTACTGAGTGTGATTTTGTTTTTGTTTCAGCCTGGCTGTTAAGGGAAGCCAAGACAGTGGTTCCAAAGGAAAAGACTCCAATAACTTAGACTCTCTCAACTGTGATGGTGAACCTCCGTAAGTGCATTAATATTTATTTGTTGTTTATTATTGTTTAATGTACAGGGTGTCCCACGAAGAGGTTTAGACCTTTGGTTGTTTACGTAAGCGGTTGTGTATGCACCAAAAGTTTTAAAATTAACACGATAAAATAGGGTTTGCAAATAATTTGTGAGAATTTTAGGATCCTATACACGTTTTGTAAAAATAAGTAATTCTGTTTCAATAAACTACCATGGAGAAAGTTAGGTTATGTTTTGTTGCTTACAGCTGTTCAACATTAGTTAATTGAGAAAAACTTCACAGCGAAGAACAATTCAGTGAACGAATCAGGTAAATTCTTAAGAAAGTAATTTTTATCGCAATCAAATCGGAATTTCATTAAAAAATTTTGACCATTTTTACCAATGTTAAGAAACTGAAATTTACACAAATTACTTTTAAACCCTATTTATGAGATTTTGTAAGGTTTTTAAAATTTCGTTCCATAAAGGCCAAGTAATATACAATTAAATTTCCAAAACTCTTCGTGGGGCACCTATACGAGTATGACTAAGACATGAATGGAACATATCATTGCTAACCGTGTTCGGCTTAAACAGAGCAAGGAACAAGTAAAAACAATATTTTAAACACTTTTTACAAAGTGGTTTGGGTAAATTTTTTGGACTTGTCACTCTTATAATTTTACCTATGTTTTGGCATTTTACTAAACCCATTGACATTGGTGGGATCTTTCTTTGGCCAATGGATGTTTGATATTCATTGGCTGCATGTAGGTCCAATACCATTCGTTATTCGAATGACATATAGTTATGTTTCATAGTTTTGACAAAGCAAGGGGTTTACTAAAAGATACCTAGGAGTATCTCAAACATAGCTTAACATTATAATTTGACCCTCTCGTCCTAAAGGTTCGTTATGTTATTTTCGTTCTCCCCTTTTAATGTTTTCCGTACTCGTCGTCTTCCTAAGACAATATTTGATTAATTTTTAATCCATTCCTAAGACACCTGTTGGAATCTAGTATTATGTTCAAACAATATCTTACTTGAGTTAGGTTAGGTTAGGTAAGGTAAGGTTAGGCTAGTTTAGGTTAAAATAGTAAGACACCTTTGTAACTAATAATTACAGTGCGATAGTTGTATGATGTTCAAACAATGTCATACTTGAGTTAGGTTAGGTTAGGAAAGGTCAGGTCAGGTTAGGTTAGGTTAGGTTAGGTTAAAATAGTAAGACACCATTGTAACTAATAATAACAGTGCGATGTTATCATGTTCAAACAATATCTTACTTGAGTTACAAAGGACACTGTAATGAAATCCTTCCAAACAACTTTGCTCTGATTTTATTCGTTTACCAAACGCTTGACTTTAGTTATTAGAATTATCTTATAAAACTTATCGGATCTGTTTCCTTGAAATCGGAACAGTATTTTGGAGTGCTTGTAGAATTATTGTTTGAAATCGAACACGGTTGTACGTACTTTATGTACAATAAACTTATTTCATGTCAAGTTGAACATAATAGTTTGGAAATTAGACTTATTAAAACATAGTGTTAAAAATATGAAGAATTATAATAGGCTACTCATAAAATATTTGCTACTGGAGCAATATCCGTTGATGTTGTATGTTGAAAAAAGGTCTGTAAGTAATTGATTTTCTCGAGATAGCTTGGGCCTGGATAAATAAATAAACCCTTATTGACCAAGCGTTTTCCATTACAGAGACTTTTTTGCAGAGAAATTCATTTCAGAATAGTATAAAATACCCCCGCCGCAGCAAACCTGGAGAATTTCTATTTTCCTGATTTAACTTTCAATTAAATCTATTTCAATAGCATTAGGTTTAACGAGTACCTAGGTTTGTTTCTACCGGGAGGGTATTCAAGTGTATTTTTAGTAAAATATTAATAGATTAGTATATCTTACTAATATTATAAATCTGAAAGTTTGTGAGTTTGTGTGTGTGTTTGTGTGTGTGTGTGTGTTGCTCAATCACGCATAAACTACTGGACGGATTGGGCTGAAATTTGGCATGATGATAGCTCACATTCCCGATTAACATTAAAGCATATTCTTATCTCAAAAATCCTTTCGGGCTCCGCCCTAGTGGCTCTGTAGTTCCCCATGTTAACCTTATGATTTTTCATATTTAAAAGGAATTAATGAATCTTAACAGCTGTTTCAATTAAAGAAGTTAGCGTAGCGAACGAGCTAACCTGAAGGCAAGTGAGCGCAGCAAACGAGCTCCAACCTAAAGGTGAGTGAGCGTAGCGAACGAACTTCAACCAGGACGTGAATGAGCCATGCGAATACTTATGAAGTTAAACGGGGCAAAGCCCGCGGGTACAGCTAGTACTAAATAAATATCCAAGTTTGTTCAAATATAACCATAAACAAGCATACTTATTTTCCGTAAGAATGACATGGGATTTTTTAATTTAATTTCTGTTTTAATTGTCTCTGTAACGAATAACGGTACAAAAATACTTCAGTATCCTAAATAATCTATAAATAATAATAAGTTATAAAAGAAAATACATGGTGTTTCCGAATTGTCTGGACATATTTTGTGGACTTGTTCCCTGGGCTAAGACAAACATAAAACACTTTATAAGTATGGGTCTAAAGTGCCTAGATTTCTGTCTGTCGGTCTGTTTGTGATTTTTATAAATTATTTTATATCTTGAGAGATTTAAAACTCAATTTAATAGGACTACCATGTTCTCAAGTATGGTAGTCCTATTAAATTGCGTAACCGAATGTAGTAAAAAACTGACAACTCAGTTATTTTTCATCCGATTTTAACAAACAAGAAGGTCTTATTTGATTTGTATTAAAATCTTCTATCCTTTAGGTAAGGCAAAGAATGTTCTTAATATTTACAGTTTTCATGAAATTTGGCATTAAAGATTTTAAATGGCCGCCATATGGAAACGGCTTGAGATATTGGAACAAAATTTTCACAGTTCTTTTTACTTTCAGAACTACACATTCATACCAAATTTTAAATCTCTATCTTGAAAAATGTCCAAGATGTAAAATAATTTATAAAAATCACAAACAGACCGACAGACAGAAATCTAGGCACTTTAGACCCATACTTATACCATAGATGAAGTAATATAATTATATATATAATTATATCATATTATATTACTTCATCTATGCTTATACGGTGTTTTATGTTTGTCTTAGCCCAGGGAACCAGTCCACAAAATATGTCCAGTCAATTCGGAAACACCCTGTATAAAAAAGACGAATTGAAACGGTGTAAAAAGCAAAAATAATGAATTAATAGTAGAGACATTTCAGATGATTAGAATAATGTAACATTTAACGAAGCTAATAACGATATTGTGGCTGGAAGCCAGGTAGGAGAAGATCATTATCCACTCTTAATGATCCAATAATGACTGTACATTTGTCAATAATACTAATAATCAAACTAATTTTTTTTAAATAATAGTATAGGCCTATATAGCTTATCTATGATGTAACAATCAAAATTTACAAACATTTTGTTTTTCGGGAAATTCCCAAATACACAATATTGAGTTTGAAGGCAGTCATTACATTTTCATTTAACTCAAAGTTTAAGTGAAAACTTTTGCAGAAGATTAATTTCATAATTGCCTAAATTACTTACTCTAACACTGACGAAATACAAATTACTTTACTAATTACTTTTTACTCAAGCTTCAAAACTTTCTTTACGTTTTGTAATTCGTTGGTGCCAACGATTTTTTTATGTCTCAAAACTTCACTCTATATACTTAGAAGATTTAGAATCTTCGGATCCTAAATTGACTTTATTCTAAACCATTTATAGGAAAAAAAAATTTAAGTTCCTTTTGTTACAATTAATTGTAGAATATATTTATTTAACTTTTAATTCTACACTATTGGAGCGTTTTTACGGAGGAATCAAATAAATAAAGATAAAGTAGTAAAAATCTAACACAAAGTTTTTACAATCTGTATAGTATAACCAGGATTGCGAGTAACAGAAACAAAAATGTACATAATCAAAGTTTACCCTGTTTTATGACTAAACAATAACGTATTTATTTTTTTTGTATATTTCTGTGATAGTTTCGGTTCACTTAAAATAAAATGGGCATTTTTAATTTATACTAAATGCGTTTAAAATTTGTTTTAATTTGGATAGTACAATTAATTAATTTTCGTTATAAAGTTAGGAGTTTTATGACGCGTGTTTTGTGTTAAAAAGTCATTTCTTTTTTTTACAATTACCTTTCCTAACTCTAATATAACATATATTTATAAAAGTAAAAGACAAATTTTATTCCGCAGGCAAAGTTATGAAGAACCAATCATTGCATATTTTAGTCGCTGTCCAAATGGCCGTTTTAATAATAAACTAGCATTGAACTATATATACTAGCACTCTTTTCAATTATGAACGGATTCGAATGTTTTGAAAAAAAGAATGCTTTAAAGTCACATTTAAAACTTAAATAAAAAATTCAATTATAAATTTAATATATTTTAGCGCTTATCTATGCAATTTATTATAGTATATTAACACTTTGTTAACAAGTTTATGGTGTTATAACCAATCCTTCATTTTTTTACAGGAACAATCTAGGCTATGTCAAAAGCTAAGTTTTTTCTAAAAAACCGTAAACCGGTTTTTATTTTAAACTTTACTTAAGTGTAATTTTTCTTTTTACGTTAAAAGTGATTTAAGCTAAGCTTAAGAACAAAGAATAAATAATAGCACAAGAAATGACATTTAATATGCATGCTTTGAGAACTTACATGAAAAATGAATAGTTTTCGAGGCCATAATACGCTTGAAGGTTAATTAAAGAGATATTATACTGAAACAACTGAATGGATTTGGAGCAATGAGTTTTTTGAAATAATTATCAAACATTCTCCTTGAATGAGCAGTAAATGTTTGAACAAATCCTAGAAGCAGATGCAATTACATTCGTGTATAAAACTTAACATCTAGGACAAAAGTATAACTGTTTTATTTCTGCAATCGTTTCTAAGAAAAGTCAAAGGCTGAGAATACAAAGAGATTTATATTCTTGTTTTGAAGCTGAGAAAGAGTCTCCGGAGAGGGGTGGGAATCTATAATGGAAGAGCTTAACATTAAAATACTCGCTGAAATGTGACATGTAATTTATTCCTATCTTTTGTTCTGTAACTGACAATCCCATTGGGATTGAATAAGGACCTTCTTCATTTATATTTAGATAGCAAGGTATAAGTTAGTATGTTTTACATACGAAAAGAGTGGATACATAAATATGGCGAAATTGTGTGCGTGTGTGAAGATGTTTTCCCTCTATACCTAATGTGTAATAAGGTACTTATTTTTAAACTACTGACATTCTTTGGTATTTTTGTACAACGATTCGTGTTCGATTTTCAGCAGCAAACGAGATAGGAAAATATTGTTTGATTTCAAGTAGCCTCGATATATTGAATTAGTAGAAATAATATCTATTTATGCAATATAAAGTATAAATAATATCTACTTAGCATCAGGGTGTCAAGAAATGTTAAATCTACAGCACACGTTTCTTACATTTTATGGATTATCATTAGCAACAATGAATATTTTTAAATATCTGTACATATAGGTTGGTTGTCAAAATCAACCACTGAACAGTATACATATTTTCAATCTATGCCGCAAATAATGAGCCGCAACGGTCATAAATGTATCCATAGCATTAATGTTAAGCAAACTTTAACCCCACAAGGCTCTAATTAAGTAGACAAAGTTTTAACTTATCAAAGAAACCACTTTGGGATATAAATAACATCCATTATGGTAAGCGAAACTGAATAACAGTATAACAATAGAACCCGTCATTTTCAAAATAAAACAAATGCATTAAACATGTAAAAGTTTTACGCGGTAATCATTTTTCTGATATTTAATTACTGTGTTATTTATTCTTGTCATTAATCGTAGTAAATTCAAAATTAAACATGTGCCTAGCATTATAGTTTATAGTCTATTATTAAGCATTATAGTTATTCACTGAAAAACAAGTTGGAAAATCTAATTTGGGTATAATCAAGTACATAGTCAAAAGAACGTTATTTAAAGTGACATCTACACATATTTTCTTGGTAAATTATGTTCATACGACTTTTTTTTGCAGACCGACGCTAGAAGAAATACGCATGTGGGGAAAGTCCTTTGACAAGCTGATGCGGAGTTCAGGTAAGAAAACAGTTTTTCGAAAAAAAAACATTTGCAGTTTTATATTTTACAGGTATGGTTTATATTAATGACTTACACAGGCATGACTATTTCAGACAGACAAACCAATATCAAACCATTGTTTTGAGTTTAATAAATATTTTGATGGAGTTGAAGCTAGTTGTAATGAATGTGTTAGGATACACCCTTTCTTGTTTCAATATTGTAATACAGTACAATGAATTTGCTTGAGTTTTGGAATGTTTGAGATAAATTAAAACAATTACTAAACCCGATCTTAGTTATTTTTATTATAATAATAAAGTTATTGATCGCTAACTACATATGAGCATTATACAGTATTTTGTTTTGTAAAGTTGTTAAATGCATAAGCTTCTATATAAATTTAGGAAAATATATTAATGATGAAAAATAAACTGTTCTATCATAGCTACAAAAGGATAATGTAGCCAATTTAGCTCTTCAAAAGGCACCCAGTAGTAATTAATTTATAGCTGGACAATGGTGGACAAAGGGCAAAACTACGTTCAGTTATGAATTCGCCAGACTTTGTAAAGTGTGTTAAGCCTGCCTTGTAAAGCCCCTATTGTACCACTCAGCCTTTCTGTTAGCCAATGTAATCTAATAAACCTTTAATTTGTTAGGTTCATGATTTGTTTATGTATACTCTACATAAGGAATACATTTGTGAAAATTAAGTTGTTTATTTGTTTCTGTGGGTGGGTTTATCACAGCGAAAAGTTAGTTCTCAAACATTAACTGTGTTGAAATGTATAATTTAATCACTCTCTTGACTAATGCCATATCTACTAAGGGAGTATGTTTTATACATGCTAATGCCTACATTATTGCATATATAAAACGTGCTCCCTTAGAGGACTTCTCATCCTTATGAAACAGCTGAACCTAATTTTATTGTTGGTTCTGTCCGGTGCACTAGTAGGGCTCACTTTATGCTCACAATTTGTTCCTGCTATTTCAGTCATTTAAAACCTCGTTTAGCCAAATATTACGATTTAATCATAAATAATAACTTGTCCCCTAGTTATATAACCAAACGGTAAAGCAAAAATGAAATTAAAGCTAAAGAAATTTAAACAAAATTTCGTCGACACTATCGATCAGTGTCACCGAACACGAACTAGACACGAAAAACGAGCTTCAAAATTTACAGTGGGGTGAGAAGTCTACTTGTGTTAGTTAGTCTATGATTATAGTTCTTGTTATGTATGGCAATCATCCACTGATTTTATAACCTTTCAGAGTTAATGATTTAGTTTGCATCTAAATCCTTGTTTACGAAGTAAATAAAAACATGTTAAACCCTAGTTTCAAAACTCCAGGTCAGTATAAATAAACTAAATGCTTTAACTCATTTAGGAACTAACCTTTTGATATTCAGTACAACATTAAATAGTGCTAAAACTGTAAAAAAAGTTGATAGTTGATAGCTGAATATAATGTTTACCACCCGGTGTTTCAGCGGGCAGGAAAGTATTCAGAGATTTCCTGCGGTGTGAGTACAGCGAGGAGAACATACTCTTTTGGCTCGCCTGTGAGGAGCTGAAAAGGGAGGCAAATCCCGACGTTGTTGAGGAGAAAGCCAGGTTTATTTATGAAGACTACATTTCCATACTCTCTCCAAAGGAGGTAAGCATTGTTCTTAGCAATCAAAATGAACAGTAAAGTACCTAGTAGCTTTTAATTTGAGGACTGGTTGTCCAACAATTGTTAAGTTGAAAAGGAGTAGTATGTATAATTTTTCAAGATACTACTACGACAGGAACACAAAGCTTTGTAAGAAGACATTGTTGGAGAATGGGCTATCCATATTCTAATACAATGGAAAAAAGAGTCAGAAGTTACTGTGCCATAATCGAATTAGAGCAATATTTATGCCTTCAAGTGACAAAAACAATGTATCTACTTAACAGAAAATCAAGTTTAAAAGGGTTGAAAAATTTAAATATTTTTTGCAAGAGCAAAACTAGCCTAAGAAACTATTACAGACACAGTTACACGAACCACACCAAATGGGTATTCTCACATAATATACAACTTGGGCAATCTTTCAAGTACAATATAAGTGACTATATTTAAGTGCTTGAGCAATTTGCTTATATCAGCACATGGCATTTGATAAATGTACTCAAGAGCCCTTGGAGGCTAGACATTATAGCCACAGCTACCTCTAATACAGTATTAGATGTGGCTGTATTATAGCTCATAAAACAACTACAAGAATGGTATAAAAATTTATAATCCCAACGTGCACTAGATATTTAAATTAAATCACTTTAATATTTGAAAAGTATTTTGAGAGCCCTTTAGCGGATGTGAAATCAACAACGTTACCATTGTCCTTAGGGCTGGCAAATCCAAGTCCAAGATTTCCTTTAGCCTCTTTGACTCCCTTGGAAAACAATTACAAAACTAGAAAGAAAATATCTGATCTTACAGTGCACTAAATATTTAAATTACAATTAATTTGTTATGTCAAAAAAATTTTTTTTTACTGAAAAAACCCTTTAACAGCTGTTGGAAATAAACCAAGATGGCCGCTAGTCTCAAAGGAATCATACTCTTAATGTTGAAGTGGAATGTTGTTGTGTGTTTATGTTGTTGTTACCTGTAACATGTAAAATAATTCTACATTTCCAATTTTTTAGAATGAAATTACAAAAAGTTCATCGTTTGTGTTGATATTTTTTATATAGTCTACATTTATTTAGCAAAATTTCACACCCACAATACCAACCTTTTCACAGGTGAGCTTGGACTCCCGAGTGAGGGAGATCGTCAACAAAAACATGGTCGCCCCGACCCCGCACACGTTCGACGAGGCTCAGCTGCAAATCTACACGTTGATGCACCGAGACTCCTACCCGCGCTTCATCAACTCGTCGCAATTCAAGCAGCTTGCCCAGCTCAACAACAACGGCGACGACGACGCGAGCGTGGCCTGCGGGAGCGGCACGGGGAGCCCCACGCTGGGCGCCAAGCAGAGCAATGCGTAACACACTGACCCACAAACTGGGTCGCTAGAATCGGCAGATCGGTAGAGAAGCAAATTGTTGACAAAATTTACCTTTGGGTGAGGAAATCAGACGATTTTCTTAGGAAGTAATCTTCAGAATAAATTGTGTATACACTGTATTACGATACAGACTCTGTATTGTACGAAATTTGATTCTGGATTACAGAAAAAAGATTGTGATTAATTTCCAAAAGGTATAATTCAAAAGAGTTACTGCTTATATATAGAACGTAATAGTTTATAAATTAAAAGTAATTTTAGGATGATTTGACGATGATTTGACGTCTAATTGATAGGAAAAAATATTTCCAAATTATGTTATCTAAATAAAGTATTATAATTATGGGTTGAATATAATGTAGTGACCATCTCGTATTTTTCGTTGATATAAAATAAAAAATATTTTCCCAAATTTTAATTTAAATTAATTACACGTTAAATTGGTACTTATTATTACGCAAAAAAAAACCATTTTAGTTTTAATAATTACAAACGGCAAAGCTAATGTTCGTATTGCACTCTAGGTTGTTGACATGAAGTCAATATATCGACACATTTGGCATAAAGTGATTGTACACTATGAGCACATTTAGTTAACGTATCATATTATCATTTATGCAACACTACTTGTTTTACAAACATAATAAATAATTGATCTAGTATCAGCACATTAAAAATTTCACATCAAAAACTTTTCTTTTCTAAAATGTTATAGGCCTCATATTTATATTTCAACAAGTTACATGCAATGTAAGAATTATTTAGAATACACCAAAGCTAAAATTTCTCTCATTGCTTCTCTACACAAATCCTGCCAAATATGATAAAATGTTGCAATCAAAAACCAAAGACACAAGGAACAGGTACAGTATATGATAACATTAGCAATTCTAAATCTGACGACTTGGAAGTTACCGAAAGCAACATGCCAAAGAAGGCCTACTGTGGGCCTACAACATCAGACGTCATTGGCTTTAACATTTTTATATACAAACTAGATAATGTTTATGTTTTAATGTTAAGTAAATATTTAGTATATCATAAGTTTTTATAATGATAAACTAAATAACCTATTGTCAGTAATTTATGCTACTTAAATCCCAAGTGTGAGCTAGATAACCGAGACGTCTCTTTGAGCAATGGTAGTGAAAGGAATTTATACCAAACGAACAAACCATGTCACCCACAAATATACAGTATTAATTTAATTGTTGAGTAAGTTAACTATTACTTAAGTATCGTATAAATTTATTATAATTGTTTTTATAAGTTATATTTAATTCTTAGACATCTGTAATACTGTATTGTTGGATAGTTTGCAAACTATTTTTCTATTTAGTTTCAACACTTGAAAAAAGGGGATAGATATTTTCATGGATTATTCAAGCCACAAAAAAAACATGTTGTATAGTTAAACAAATCAACAAATTTTATAAAAGTTTTTCAATGTTACTCCTCCTTAAGTTTGTCTATGCACCATGGTTAATTAAATGAACCTAACTTAGATCTAGAAACGTTTATAGAAACTGCCAGAAGAGAGAAAAAATGTAAAATGTATACTAATGTTACAGCAATAAGGACGGACTGCTTTGATTACGTGGAATGCTATTACAATAGATTATATCAGACATAATTAATGACTTTTGGACAGAACCGTAATTTTAGTTTAGGTAAACAGATTGAACATTAATATCAAAACCGCCACGAACAGAGTAAGATGTTAATGTTTCTATAATACTTCTTTTATTCATTTTGTGTGAATATTTAATTTTTTGTTTCAATACTCATATCTACATTATCGATGTAACGTTAATTTGACTTACGAATAAAGTAAGGCTATAAAATATCTTACATAACAGATACCCAAATAATAGTGTATAGTTGAAAAATATTTTTTCACATACACTGCTGAGCTATAACGAATGTGGGTATTCAAAGTGCAACAAATTATATTTCTTGGTTCCCTTGGGTTCACAATATTTTTTTCACATCTTCACGCTTGATAAGTAGGGGTTTGAACTGAATCTCACTGCAAGTGTTTTGTAAAAAAATTTCGTATTTCATAACCTCTGTTTAGTTTCGTAAACATGTGGAAGAAATTTGATCTTAAAAGTTTATTTGTAAAAAAGCTGTAATTGTAGGCCTCCAAATGAATTTATAAAATTATATTTTCCAATTTATCGTGTTGCTACATAATATAAAATCTATTTACTTTTACAGAGATTGGTTGAAATTAACATTTCGTGAACCTATATTCGCCACTGTTACAGAATAAACTTATGTTTATCATAACCCTTATTTAGGCACAATATGTTATAAGGAACTTATCTTAGCTAAGATACAACTGGTTGTGTAAATCTATACTCACCAGAGAACTCTAAAGTTTTCTAGCTACAGAATCTCAAATATAGGACTTTATCAATCTTGAATGACGAACGCACAAATTCTGTTAAGTACTAGAACGTTGTACAGCTTAATAAGTATGGAATTGTAAGGTTATTGTTATATTCGTTCATTGTTTATTGGTACGTTAAAGATGTCGTAATATAGAAGATGTAATGCGTATTTAGAATGTAATTGCTGTCATGATTTTGGTTGAATTAATAATTAGTTGTTTTACGGGTATCAAGCAATTAGTTGTAACGATTCATATATTACAGATGTTACATTTACGTTTGGTATAACATATGACGTTATGCTATGATACAGTTTCATGAAAGAAATTTGTATAGAATAATTTGAGCATTTAAGGAAGTCGTTATTTGGTATAGTTTGAGCAATGAGATAACTGTCAAAGAGCAAGATACTAAATGTATAAAAGTAAGTTGTTACATTACTATTAATCAGTCCAATTTAGTGTTGGAGATTTGTTAAGGGTGTTACTAAAGGGCCCTAAAGGGACATTGGTATTACTGATTTTAACCAGCAGTTTTAAGGACCTTTGTAGGTTTACTTCTTTATAAATTTCCAATTTGTTAATTCTTGTAATCGAAATAGCTCCTCTTGTTTATTAATTTAGTTTTTATGCAGTTGAATACGAAGCACTAAGTTGAAAACACGTTTTATGACAAAGCCCTTTGTACAGAGAAGTGTATTATTCGCTTAAATAAAATTTTGAATGTATTAAGACAGTTCTTTTAAGTCTGTCTTCTATATTCTTGGTTCTATAGCCAGCCATATTATGTTTTAAGCTAAATAAAAAAAACTTTAAATTAACCAAAATTATCTCTATATGAGGAAATAACTTAAAACTTCCCAGTTTAAAATACTGTATAGCACAAAACACCTCCCGGCATTGATAAAGAATGGGCTATCAGTAAGGAAATGGTTTAGTAAAAATACTTTTGCTTGTTTTATAAGTAACAATTAGGCTACTAGGAGAAAAGTGGTTTTGTTAAAGATATTCTTTCCTCAGGTTAGGTTATTTTAGACGCCGATGAAGCTACACAAATTTAGCCCAAATATCCTAATCTGAACATATTTTTATTTTCCTTTTGTTAATTAGCAAAGTTGAATTCCTTTCCTTTACTATAATAGAAAAAACATAAAAATGTCAATGAAGATACTTCATTAAAGAATAAGTCGGAATAGGATCTAGGTGAAGATGGTAACCAAATTTATTACCATGCGGCATAACATAACGATGTACTAATCATTTCCGAAGGCTTTATTTAATGAGCTTTCTCATTACAAAGCTTTAATCAGCTTTTAAGTAATTTTTCCATGTGATGTAAGTACGAAAGGGATTGTCTTGACCTTAAGTGACGTCATCGACATATGTCATGTTACCAAGGGAAACCTTACACCACTGATGACGTAGCTTCAGGTCCAGCAGGCCCATTTTACACCTACTGACACAAACGTTTCCCCCATAACACTACCATTGCAAGAGATACAGCCCGGCTAGGAGGTAGTCTCCCCTCGGTTCAGACATAGAATGCATTTGCCTTGAAGAAATATAATTTCTTTGTGAAAGCTTTAACGACTCTACTTATGAGGTTTGCTTGGGGTGAGTTAGGCGTGGTTCTATGGCCACTGGGCGATCAGCATGTTTTAGTGCTGACGTTTACTGGACATAGAACAGCTCATCTTTGTAAAAGTATTATTTTAGTGAATTGTTAAATTTAATTAGATGTACTTACTGTAAAGCAAATATTATAAGTTGACACCATATTGAATTTTTATTTGAAAATGTCCTGTATAGTTTTTTGTGTAAATTAAAGAGTTGTGATGTTAATTTTTTGTAGTTTCGTAAAGAAAATATTATATTTTAAGACCATTACAATTTATAAAAAATACTAATCATACACTACGTCCAACGTGTGTTCATTTAGGTTAACCTTTTAATGTATCAGAGTTTTATCATGGTAAAGTTCAGATAGAAAAAGGTTGTGTTTCATGATCATTAATTTCATAAATATTTTGTAGTTTTCAAAATATTCTGTTTAAAAACTATATTAATTGTAAAGGAAGATACCAAAGATAGTTTTAAACTAATCGAATGATAAAATTTTAATTGATATATTTCACAATTTACCGTTTACTTACAACCTCGACCCTCCAGCAACAAAGCCTAACCTACCCCAAACAGCTATGTAAATATTTGTTTTGTGATACTTGGAATTACGAATATTCCAATTACTTATGTAGAAATTTATTTTAGCTGAATTTAGTTTCGGAATCGTGGTGCATCACAGGCAAGCACCTAGCGTAGTACATAATATATGTTATACGATCATTGATAGTGTAAAATACTGTCCGCCGCGCGCACGGGACCGAGTCCCTCTATACATATATAAATAAATGTATAATAAACACCCAATGTCGTGTACTGTATGTGTTTGACCAATAGCATTACGAGGACCATGTGTGTGTGTGCGAGTGTGTGTGTGAGTGAGTGTCAGGTGTTTCATTTACAAGTTTTTACTAAGATTCGTTAAGACTCTGGTCTCACTCTAGTCATATGGTGTTCCTTCAGTGACACTAACTTTGCAATGTGTACAACTTTTCAACAAAACAACTCTTGTGATTTCAATCCCTTGAAACAATATTTTATCTGTACTCGGACAAAATAAAAGTTGAATTTTATCAGGACCCTGTGTTTTATTTGCCTGTGTGACTATTAGTTTAGTGGGAAGAGTTGGGGTTGCATGTTATCAGGACCCTGAGTTTTATTTACCTGTGTGACTTTTAGCTTACTGGGAAGAATCGGGGTTGCATATTATCAGGACCCTGAGTTT